GCTGGTCGTAACCTGAAAAGTTCGTTAGTAGAGGCGTTCGTATCCCAAGGTACCACTGTATATCTGAATAATTCTTACCCAGCACCTTTCCAATTTATCCTGTGGTATTTGTGGAAATCTAGGTTTGAATGCATATACCTACTTAAAATACTCAAATCATCCTTTTGATGTTTTTATATACTAACATAAATGGATTCTTCTCTTTACAAGAAATGTTTCAGACAGTAAAAATATGTTTCGAGCCATGCAGAACACTGTGTTGCGGAGAAACAGTTGTTACAGAAGTACTCCTTAACCTAAACCTCTTTCCTTAAACTAAATTGCAATTAGTGAGACTTACTTACTAAGTATATGCATTTAGCAGTAGCATAGTATTTAAACAAATGACCTAAACCAAGCCCTCTTTTTGGCAAGCCTTTTAAGATGACTACACTAGCAGTGCTGCCTATCAATTAAATCACTGAATTAACACTTCTCTGTGTTGTCCTCTACTCATGTTGCTGTAGAATATGAGGCATTTGTCTGGATTTCTGGAAACAGTGTTGGTAGCCAGTATATGGCTTTTATGCTGTTCCTTTAGAACAGATGACCCACTGAACTGGGTTTCTCTACAAAAGTAATCAATGCTCTTTCTCCCTACCTCCATTTGTCAACTTTGACTTGGCTGAGATCTACCCTTGCTGCTAGACAATGATGGAAGCCACAAAAAGGTTGTAGTAGCAAAAAGGTTGAGACAAGCAAGCTGTGGAAGCATGATTATCCTTCATGTTATCTCTGTATACTGATAATTGCTTAGGGGTAAATTACATACAGTATGATATTTCTAGATCAGTGTTTCTCAACCTTGGCAACTTTAAGATGTCTGGACTTCAGCTCGCAGAATTCCCCAGCCAGCATGGGGAATCTTAAAATTGCCAAGGTTGAGAAACACTGTTCTAGGTAGTAGGTGATACACAATGGGGAACTCCAGACAAAGATGATGGAATGCATCTGCTAAGTGATTATGCTTGCAACCAGCACTCTGCAGAAGAAGTTTCTTGTGTCTTTCCTTTGCTGACTATAATGTAAGAATTATCCATAAGTTTATATAAGGAAGTGGAATAATTAATTTCCTATAGCTTTTATATCAAGGAATATTTGAGGTAATCAAAATATTTAGTGTAAACTGCAATACTATGCAGTTAAAATAGAGTTCTGTTTATACTGATATAATGCAAATTGCATTCATGTTCCTTTTCTTTTCTTAAAACCTAAAGCTTGAATTTGGTGTAATTTATCACTGCATTGAAGAACGATTATACACTGGTAGAAGAGGTCAAGGGTCATATTGTAATGGCAAAAGGCTTCAGGTGTCAAAAGTGACAGGTTGGTTTAGATTTTGTAAGCACTATAAAATATATGCATATATATATATATATATATATAATTATAGAGTTGTCACTAATTCTAGATAAAATTAATGTATCTTCTATATAATTCCTGCTTTTGGTTAACAATTCAGTTTAATAACATTTTGCTAAATCACTGTAAATTCAGCTCCACTAAAACTGAACTCTGCTTAATCCTCTTGCTAGGTATCTGGGCACCCAGGGTCAGGGATGGGGGTCAAGTGGCAAAGTATGGGTTGTGATCTCATGATACAGAAACTGCAACTTATGCTCTTGCATCAGATACTGGGACACAAGTACATATGGAAGATTCTCATATTGATGTCACCATGCATATGTTGTAATCTCAGTTTGCTGTGGATGCCTGTGGCTGGATATATCTTCAGTGGCAAACAAGTGAGCTAAAGTTGACTTAAAAGTAGTTCAAATATGACAGAGCTGAATGGGTCTCTACAGAGTTGGATCAAACTGTTGAAACCCTCCTATCAGATGCTATGGTTGCTGCAAGGACACTCTATAAAGCAGGCTGCACTCTTCTGGAGATGTAGTGTAAAACCACCTCTTAACAGTTTGCCCTGGCAGTTCACAGAGTTCAGACAATTTCTTTAATGTTCATGACCTCTGTTGGATTATTAGTGTAGAACTGTAAGAGCATAAGTACTAGTTTATGGTGGTCTTGTAAAGGTGGAATAGAAGACATTCTTCTTCTCCGAGGCATTTTTACAGTTTTTTGTTCCACATTTTGTATTTTACTAGAGGAGTATGTAAGTATATCTGTGCATGTGTACACACATACACACAAACTGCTTTACTGTTTGGTTTTAATTGCTTAAATCACTTTGCAATCTGCCTAGAGATTTCCAGTTATTGAGTACAATAAAATATAATAATCAATCTAAATAGTATATGCATGCTAATTACAAATATTGCAAAACTTTCAATTCAGTGAGTCATCCTAAAATATTGCAACTTTGCACCTATTTCTAGAATATGTAGCACTGGATGCTCTACAAAAGTTCATAAAGCTGTTGTGTTGTCTTATCTTTCTTTCTCAAAAATATATATCATTTGCATTTGCACCCTGTTTTACAACAAATAATAGGACAACTATCTTTACTGCAAGACCTAAAATTTAGTTCATGTGGCCTTTGAATCTCAGAACTGAAGGGGTCATCAAGTCCAAGTACAGACTTAAGGTTAGACTTAGAATGGTCAGATGATTCATTTTGGATTCATACTCTTTTGGATTCATACTGTGGATTCTTTGTGATTTAATGTGATAAAGGCTTATTTCTCAATCAATTCTAGAATGGTGATGAAAGTACAGGTAGTCCTCGTCCAGCAGCCACAATTGGGACTGGCAACTCTGTCATTAAGTGAAACAGTCGCTAAGTGAAACTGACTGTGCTTATGATTTTTTTCAGCTTTCCTTTGCTTTACAGACCTGCGATCATAATGTGAGGACTGGTCGTAAAGTTACTTTTTTATCACCATCGTAACCGCAAACAGTTACTAAATGAGCCAATCACTAAACAAGGACTACTGTAATGTTAAGCAGATTTATTTTATTTAGTTTCAAGATAATGGTATTTTGCTATTGCAGAATTTATTAGGAATAAATAAGGTCTCATGAAGCACCTATTAAATTATGCTGCATAATCTTAGGCCTTCAGGACTCAAATGGCTATTCATAAGACTTGGATAGGAAAGCACTAGGAAATCCCAGGCTATACATTAGATTGTATAGTTTAAAAAAAAAAACCCCTCATGCCAAAAGAAGACAATGGAAAACCACTTCCAAATTGCAACCAAGAAAACAATGAAGACATGTCCATTTAGTCAGCAGGCATTTAGTTCGACTCCCATGAAATTTTACTGCTAGTATGGTTGTACATTTATTTACATTAAATGTTAACATAAATGAAATCAGGTTTAGTGTCCATACTCCATTTTTTGGTATGTGGCCTCTGATATGCCATTCAAAGATGAACTATGGACTTTGTCCCTAGAAAGACTACTTGAAGACCAGTGTTCTGCATCAAAAGATGTAGAACTTCAAAAGATAAATTGAAATAAGCTGTTGCATTAATACATATCAATCATTTTTCTTGCAGATATCACAAAGGCCTTGATTTTAACTGAGATTGGTCCAAAGCGAGACCCTGACACTCTGAAAGTCTTTCTTAGTAACATGGAACGGCTGCTAAAGGCACAGGCTCACGGGTAGTTCTGTTTCCTACAAAATTAATTAACTTAGTAACAAGAAAATTGTCAATATGATTTAATATTTCAGTTAAGTACTGTAGCCATAAATCAAATCAACCAAGTCAACAGTTTCATAGGTATTCAAATGCATATATGGACTGTGCCATCAGTAGAGCCCCTTGTATATCAAGAGAATTCTTCTCTTGGTGTATATGTGCAATAGTGCCATCATAGAAGTGTGTCTGCTTTTTTGCACTGAATTTGTGAATTGGAACACATGAATAACCTGTGTTTGTGCATAATGCTAGGCTGTGAAATGTTAATGCATGTACAACTCCATGGTTCCCTCTTTGTCCCTATTGTGCTTGGCTCTTTAAGGGAGGCCTGGAAAGTGTTTTCTGTATAGCATGTCAAGTTCATCCTGGGCATCAAGGATAAAATTTGTAAACAATAAAAAATGTCAGGTCAAATATTTGGAAATGTATGTCATTACCTTGAAGTAGTTAACAATTTGTGGTGAACAAATTGCACAGTAATTTCATTATGAGCTAGGTTAATGGGTTGCTCTAATGTTATTTGCCATTTTTTTTTACATTTATCCCAGAGTTCGTGTTATTGGAAGTGCTACCTTGGCACTCTGTCATTTAGCATCTGGGGCCGCAGATGCATATTACCAGTTTGGCTTGCATTGCTGGGATTTGGCAGCAGCTACTGTTATTATCAGAGAGGCAGGTGGAGTTGTGATAGATACATCAGGTAAGCAAATACATTTTAAGAAGGAGAAAGTATGAGTTGCGCATCATACCATTCCTTCCAATTCAAAAGAGGAATATTCCTTTTGCCACCATCTTATTCTAGACTTTCTTGGAAGTCCAACCTTCAGGAAAGAATTTTCAGAAGAGTGAGAGGCTACATTAGAGTAGAGAGGTGGCCTTAGAAATGGGGAATAGGGAATAGGTGGCCTTAGAAATGGGGAAGGAAGGAAAGTAACTGTATTCTAGAGATTTAATGTACAATTTTAAAAGTCTGCAAATACTGTGCTTCTTATTGTACAACGAGTCACAGTCCCTAATGGTTTATTGTATTGTTATGATGGGAAACCCAACTTGGCTCAAAGCTAGACTTCCCACGTGTATCCCACAAGTGTTTTGGATGATATCAAGATGGACTTTAGGATAGGAAATCCGCTGCCTTGCCTTTGAGTCAATCCTTGTTCTGCTCATACTGGCTCCCCACCTTCTTCTGCAGGGAGAAAAAAAGACTACTCAGCACTCAGAAGAGAAAGTTGTTATTTCCAAGCATTGCTATGGAGATAGGTGGAGCAGATTCTAAAGTGAGAAGGAGCAGGATGGGGTCAAAAAGAGGGAACTGTTGACAAGAAACTTTACAGATCACAATAAAGTTTAGTAATGTTCTACCTATATATGTCCCAGTTAAATGCACATAATGGACTACACAAGAAATAATTTGTATCTTTGTCACAAAAGAAACATCTAAGCCATTTTTCAATCCAATTCTTTTCCTAGGTGGACCTCTAGACCTGATGTCGTGTCGAGTAATAGCAGCAGGTACCCAGGAGATGGCCTCATTCATCGCTCAGGAAATACAGACTATTCATTATGGACGTGATGATGAGAATTGACCAGATATCAATCTAAAGACAATATGAAATCTGACCTTTTGGAAATATTTCACTTCCTTTAAGATGAACCGCTTTTAGAAACTATTATTTGTTTCTCGTACAGTTTGTAAATCAGACATATTATAAAAACATTTTACTTGCATTTTAGGAAGGTGAAGGGTGTATGAGAGTGTGTGTGTGTGTGTGTGTGTGTGTGTGTGTGTGTGTGTGACCTTTCCCTCTTTTTAATAAGAATATTTTTCAGTTATGCTTTTTTAATGTTACAAGCTCTTTGAGGCTGAAATAGAAGGGGGTTTTTGGTTTCACATAGAACGAGAAACAAACTATATGTTTCAGATCTCAGGTAGTTTTTTTTTGTTCCATGGCAGGGAGCAAGTAGTGCCTCAAGTGCCCTCATTCAACAATACTTGAGTGAAATTACTATTTTTTTCTAAATTTAAAACAGATCCACTGAACAGCTGAGATAGTTACCTTTATTTATATGGCACGCACACACAAGCATGATAATGGTACATATTCTTAGAAATATGTATTATCCTTGGATAAATAATGTAAATAGGTACTAAAAGAGCTGATTAAATAACGAAAAACTTATTTTTGAAACATTCAAAATTCTTTAGGTTGATTCAAGCCCTAGACTATAACAGCATGTTTTTAAAAATAACACAGAAGATTCACTAGGATGCTACTGTTCACAAAACTTTCTTACTAAACACATAGGTAGCCTGAAACCTAGTTTATAATCAGTGGTATTCATCTGAATTGAACAATATATATTCTGGTCACTGCTAGAAGTCAAATCTCCAAGTTACATCTCTTGGTGACTTCATGTAATTTTCTTGGTAACAATACAGAAGTGATTTTCTATTGCCTTCTTCCAGGTTAGTGGTTTTTTGTTTTTGTTTTTTTACTTCTTAGTCTAGCCTAAAGCCCTGGTATTTCCTGGAGGTTTTCCATTGCAATATTAATTAGGCCCACCCCTGCTTAGCTTTCAAGCCCAGGCAGGTGCTACTACGTGCTGAGATGGCCATTGTGTATCCTTGAATGATTAACGTGGGGAAAAGGAATCTATCAAAGCAAATTTAAAACTAGCAGAGAGATTCCAGCAATGCTGAATGTTAGTATTGTTCGAATAGTGCTTTGTAGCTTATCCCGTGGAAGAGAACTGAAAGGAAGTATCTCATTATTATATAAAAATAGTGGCTGAATATGTTACAAGAACTACAGCTTTCTTGAGTGGAAATGGGCATGACTTGGGCTGAGTTTTCATAAGCAGCACATAAGGTGGCAAACCTTTAGAACTCTGGCATACATAATTAAGTGCTGCATGATACTCCCAAATAAATGCCTCAGTAATAGAAATCAGAATGTCAGTGAAAGGGATCCTAAGCTAATCTTTTCACTGACCTAGTGTTTTATATGCTTGTGTATTATGAATTGTTGTGATAAACTCTTATGGGCCCACTCTTGGCATTTCAGCTGATACAATCTAGGAATAGTTTACTATCTCACCAGTTGTCAGAGTTAGGCTTTAGATTCAGGTGAACTTGAGTTACCAATGAATGAAGTGCTGGTACTGATGATCTGTGTTCTGTCCAAATGCTGGAATGTTATATTGGCCATAGTGTACCTTGTTTCTCAATAATATCCTTCAGTCCTAAATGCAGTGGAGATAAATGTCATGAATGATACTTCTAAATAAATATATTTTTATGAATGGAATCTAAGGCTGAGCCAGTTGTCCCTGTATGTACGAGGCTAAGAATTTGGCCTATTCTCTTAATAACTAATTATCTATTTTCTGAAAGGTTTTAAAAATTGGGTAGACACTCCAGTTAAAAAAGCAAGGTGTATAGTGGGTGAATCCAGATTTAATTCTACTAAAAATAGACCTATTGAAATCAGTGGGACCTCAGTTAATCATGATAAATACATGTTCTAAATGAAGGATTTGCAGCTGATTAGATTTTGTTGTAGTAGGCTATCCTTGCTGTTGTAGAATTTGGTGATAATTATTAAAAGAACTGCTGAACAAGAGGCTCTTCCACTATTCAACTCTAGCACTGAAGATATGCCTCCCCAGAATCAATCTTTCTGTGTGTAAATAGTTCATCAAAAATTTAGCTGTATAATGGAAGTTTTGTAACTCATTGTTAATTGTGTTACAACAGCAGTTGCTGATGAATCACTTCCGTTCTGTGCCACAAATGTGCTATCTGTATAAATTGTCTCATTTTTCCACATTAAAAAGTATTGTGGTTTGAGTGCTTAGGAAATGTGGCATATCTGAAAAAAATGAAATTTTGAAGATAATGTGTATAATAAGAAAGGATGTATTGTGCAGTTAAACCAGAAAGGCTTAAGCATGCAGGTGAAAAGCTACTGAAAACAAAAGCCATCAGAGATCATTAGTTCTACTTCAGTAACTTTCTGCCAACTCCTTTGGTGACAGATGTCTCTCTTCACTTACCAACTACATAATAGTGAAGAAAACATGAGTATTTTCCATCAACATTCCCCTATGACTGGAAAATTCCTGCTGTTTAATCTCTTCTCTGTCAGCAGTCATCAAGATACAGCTAAGAATCTGACCAACTTGGTAGCTGGAACATTAAACGTATTGAAACGTAAGAAGTAATACGTTAATGAGGGATTAGGACAGAATGATAAAATATGGTAAACTGCCATTGCACAAATATTCCAAAATGATAGTGTGTGCACCTTTATGCACTGTTGACTTTATAATAGCATTTCTATAGCACTTCAGAATGTTCAAAAGCACTTCCTCAGTATCATTTGCAAACCTTACAGTATTCCTCCAAGATATTCCTTCAGTATTCACTAACATTGCAAACAAGAAGAGGGCTGAGCATTAGAGTAGAACTTGCCTAATTTTAATCTAATGGGTAAATTAATGGCAGATGCAAGATTAAAACAGATTTTGTTCTTAGTAACATAGGGGCCAAACTGTACATTATGTTACATCTGCAGTCTTGCATGCATTACTTGAGGTCAGAATGAAAGCAGAGATGTAAAATATGACCTGAAGCCACATACACATTTTTTTATTTAGTTAGTTACAAATGTGATGAGGAAAAAATATTATTTAAAATGTTATATGAAAGAAGATACATGCCTTTATTGTCCAGTAATGATTGAAGACTAATTCACAGAACTTTATGCATTAGTAGAATATAGGCACCAGATTCAGATTTGATTATGATGCATATGAATTATTCTTTTCATCTCTTAAAAAAAAAACAGCAATCTTGTGGGTAATAATCTGAATAGAAATCATGGAAACTAGGGAGCAGAGAATAATCTTTCATTCTCATTCTGTAGATCCAAAAGAACATACGTGGTTGTGAACTGTTCTGTATAGAAGCTAATATTAAAGTCCATAACAATCTGGAGGAGTGATTTATCAGAAGCATGGGGTCTGGATGGAAATGTATTAACTCACCCCTGTGTACCAAAGTCACAGTTTTTTTAAAAATAAAAAATAAAATTAGTGATATGTGAAGGCATCAAATAAGGGTTTCACATTTACTGTTGTTTTTAATCTTCCCATCCTTCATGATCCAAAACAATAGTTACTTGGAAGTTTAATATCTTAGCCACTATTTTCTTATATACACTTTACAGCAGGGCAGATAATCTATGGCTCACAGGCTAATTCTAATCTCTTGTGTAACAGATCAGGTCAGATCTCTGGGAAGAGCCAACTGCTGAAGCAGAAAGGGACGTGAGAAAGAGTGGATGTTCTCAACCCACTTTGGATTCTTGTTGCAGCCCCCTACTGTTTATCCCTGAGAGAATGAATGATCCTTGAAAGAAAAAAAAATGTGTGCCTACCTGTACTTTACGGGGACATTTTTAGATGGAAAAATACATTTAGCAGAAATTACTTGACCATCAAGTTGGAAGATGATCTATTAAGTATTTTGCATGTATAAAGTGTTCAACAGCTGTACAGTCATGAGATTTTGTGCATCTTTATTGCAAGAGCTCTGAAACTTACTGGTTTACAGTGTTTAAATATACATTATGAACCATTTGGTGTTATGTTCTTGTTCAGTTACAAACTCTGTATCATTGGCTGTCCGCTATTAATCCAGATATTTTTACCTCATAGGGGGCTATGAGGAATAATGTGTGATTATTATTCAGCAGAATAAAAGTTGTTTCCAATGGATAAAGAACTATATCTTGATATCTAGAATTCTTATTAATGTACGTTTGTCAAAATAGCTTCATTTTCCAATAAAACCAAGAGGCAAACATGTATTATGCAGCTCTTCTACTGTTGTTTTTTAATTTAAAGAGTAAGTGTATAGTGGCCTGATCAAGATTAGTGCTGTTGTATAGGGGAGCTTACCCTTTCCCTCAGTCCCTTTGTTCAGAAGAATCCTGCCTCCCAAATTGTGGTTTTTTTAAAGTTTTTTTTAACTCAACAGCACGGTATGTTAATTTTTCTAAAGAAAGGGTTAGGGTAGAAGGAGCATTAGAAATTCTAATCAGGATAGGGCTAATGTGTACTTCGTTCTAAAGAAGAAAGGGCAGCTGTAAGATGTGTGTTATTGTGCAGCTTAGCCAGGACTGACAGAAGTTTAGGAATTGCTATTTTAGGCCCTGCATATTTAATTTACAGAAGGCACTGCACAATATAAAGTGAAAATATATAACAGAATCTGACATTCATAGCTTGTTTTCTTGAAAGTGATCGCACTATCTGAGGTAACTAAGGTGTCTTAAATTCATGGATCTGCTCTTTTGTTTTTGTTTTTCAGCATTGTTTTAATTGTTGCTTCACAAGGTGTTTTCTACCAATCTTCACTTCCCAAGTGAAGAGACAAACAAGAATAAAAGGCTGCATAGAACTGCCACCTGAGCTGCAGAAGTCCAGATGACTTCTTAAGTGGGAGTCAGAATGCTCTGCAGTTTGGTAAATGAATAGCAAGACAGCAGCACCAACCTGTAATATCTACACTGGAGTACCAATAATTATTTATTAAGTCCAAGGTGGGGTGGGGCTTTATCTACTTCTCTGCTAATACAGTATTATTAGAGCAAAACACACAGAAACCCTATTTAACTAAATAGGGCTAAAAATACAATATAGTTATGTCAATACACTACTGTACCTCAATATATTTGAGAAACCATGGAAAGGATGGCTAGGCTTAAGCCCTAACAAAGTCTTAATAAGCCCTAGTTTTGTGTGCACATTTGTTTTCATTCCCAGGGTGTTAAAAAGGAAGCATGTTTTAAACTAAAAATGGTTAGTTCAAAGTATTCTAATCAATAATGTCACAATTTATTTCTTGGGAGTTGAAGGACGGTAGAGTCATGTACTTATCTTTCTTTGTAGGAAAAGGTCATTTGATTCCTCTGTGGAAATAGACTTTTTCTTCTATTTTTATTACTTTTTAATACATTGTAGAATCAATGTATTAAAAAGTAATAGTATTAGTAATAAGTACTGAAAATAAGACTCAGAGCCAATCAATTTTAATGCAGTGAATTTAACTGATGGACCTCTATAATGATTGTACATCAAGTTTTGGCCCAATAAATTGGTAGGCCTACAGTGAATCTACAATCTTTCCACTAACAATTTCTGTGAATCTGTTATTCATAAAACTATTAAACATTTTATTTAGTATGTTAACTTTATGTAAATATTTAAGGGAAAATGGCTTTTTTATACAGAAAAGAGGAAGGTATTACATTTTATTAAGTCAGTTTTAGTCACTGTCATTGAAGTTAATATTTTTGCTGATTGCACATGGTCTAATTCTAATTTATCCTTAGTTCTACCTTCCCTTAATACAACTAAATGTCTTAAAAGAATTAGAAAATTAATTATCTTAATACTAAATATTAAGGGCCTCTATTTGTAGACAGAAAACAGGCACAATTTTATAAAAAGAATAGGTAGAAGGTATGGAATTTGCTTTCCATTCTTCTGTTCCTCTGCTTAAATCACAGATTGCTTCTTAGGATTGCTTTTCATTTAAATTTGAAAGATAGATAGATGATAGCTAGGTAGATGATAGATATAGATAGATAA